TTTTTTTCTAACTAAACAAAGAAATTAACTATCCATTAACTCCAAACAGAAATCATTAACTACGATTTAAAAATGATCCATTCTCCTTATATCTCACCAATTTTTGTTATGATAGATGCCAGAAGTAGACAACAGGAAGGCTAGGCTTCATGAATATGCTAGTTTTGTGTGGAATTTAATTGTGTCGATCAACTGGGTTATACTGTTGATTTAGACCTAATTTCATTGGTCAACCTCGACGAGGAGCTTGCTAGGGGACGTAGGGGGGAAGCCCACCGCTTGCTTGGGGGTTTAGGTAGGGTTGTCACTTCGGGTTGTCAGGACGGGTTCGGTTCGAACTCGAACTGACCCGAAGCTAAACGGGTCGACCTGAACCCGACCCATTTAGTTATACGAGTCCACTTGCTAAACCCGGACCCGAACCGGGTTAATCACGGGTCGGGTCAACCCAACCCGCCAACCCGATTATTTTTTTAGATAAACAGAGATGTTAACTAAATTAAAATTTTCAAAAAACAATGAAATAATAAATGAATACAATTAAAATTTGATTAATTCATCACATTTAAAAAATATATAGAAAATTATAAGAGCATTATTACTTTTTCAAATTGTAAATAAACAAAATTTCTAATTTCTATGATATAGGGCTGTCAATAACTGACCCGACCCGAGAAGTCGGGTTCGGGTCCACCCGTTAAAGAAACGGGTTGGGTTCGGATGTTAATTATGGACCCTTATAGTAATTGGGTCGGGTTCAGGTCAACCCGTTAACCCGATGCTGACCCAAAAATGACCCGTGTTAAGGGTTTTTAATAACTTAACCACAGACCTTTTCATATGAATATATAATAAATGTTAAGTTATTAAAAACCCTTAACACGGGTCATTTTTGGGTCAGCATCGGGTTAACGGGTTGACCTGAACCCGACCCAATTACTATAAGGGTCCATAATTAACATCCGAACCCAACCCGTTTCTTTAACGGGTGGACCCGAACCCGACTTCTCGGGTCGGGTCAGTTATTGACAGCCCTATATCATAGAAATTAGAAATTTTGTTTATTTACAATTTGAAAAAGTAATAATGCTCTTATAATTTTCTATATATTTTTTAAATGTGATGAATTAATCAAATTTTAATTGTATTCATTTATTATTTCATTGTTTTTTGAAAATTTTAATTTAGTTAACATCTCTGTTTATCTAAAAAAATAATCGGGTTGGCGGGTTGGGTTGACCCGACCCGTGATTAACCCGGTTCGGGTCCGGGTTTAGCAAGTGGACTCGTATAACTAAATGGGTCGGGTTCAGGTCGACCCGTTTAGCTTCGGGTCAGTTCGAGTTCGAACCGAACCCGTCCTGACAACCCGAAGTGACAACCCTACCTAAACCCCCAAGCAAGCGGTGGGCTTCCCCCCTACGTCCCCTAGCAAGCTCCTCGTCGAGGTTGACCAATGAAATTAGGTCTAAATCAACAGTATAACCCAGTTGATCGACACAATTAAATTCCACACAAAACTAGCATATTCATGAAGCCTAGCCTTCCTGTTGTCTACTTCTGGCATCTATCATAACAAAAATTGGTGAGATATAAGGAGAATGGATCATTTTTAAATCGTAGTTAATGATTTCTGTTTGGAGTTAATGGATAGTTAATTTCTTTGTTTAGTTAGAAAAAAAAGGTAATGATATTCTATTAAATTTTGATTAGAATAAATTTTAAAAATTTTAAAATGAATTTGGATGATTATTCATTTCAAAATAAATTGAAAAATTTTAAAATTTATTTCAATCAAATTTTAATTAGGATAGCCTAACATTTGTCATACTTGGTTGTGATTAATGCAGCTGTATTTTATAACATGTAGAATGGTTGTATTAGTGTAAATTTGCAGGTTGTGGTGATAAATATGTATTATGATAAGATTGTGATGGCATGCATCTAAAAATCCAAACTTTCATATTGCATTATAATTTTTTATCATTTCCATTGGTTATTTTGGGTTACATTTGTAGATTGTTGTTTTGTTTGAAATAAAATAGTGTAAAGTATTTTAAATATAGGGATTTTGAAAATATTAAGGTGTTCGATTTGATGAAAAAGGAATGTATTGTAAAATTCTAGCGAATTTTTCTTCACTGATTAGTTCATTTTTTATGAAATGTAAAGTTAGCCAGTTTTGAGTGAATTCTTTTCATTATAAGTAAGTTGCCTTATCGTCGTTATCGTCGCTAGCCACTGCTATTGATAACTGTCTTTAAACTTTACATTACATTTATTTTACTTTAATTCAAAAATAAAATGACAACTTGTAATTATTTTACACATCCAAATAGGAGCATTTCAAATGCAATACATTTCTTTTAGTAACCAAAGCCTCAAAACCACACAAAACGCTCGACATCTTATGCCACTTGCTTCACACTGACTTGTCCAAATCAGAAAAAGAGAATGCATATCCATCATTGTGGATTAGGCCACAAATCTTGTGGCCTAGTTTTCATGACAATCCGATATATATTAATATATAGATTGTAAGTTTTCTTCTTTCTGAACTCCTCCATTCTCCTTTCTCAGAACAAAGCAATGGATGCATCCTGTTTCCTCACCTCCAAAATCTCCAGCAAAAGTGTAGATTTTATTCCACCCTTCAATACCAGGATCTCCAGCCCCCTCAAGAGAAGGTCTGCAAAATGGCTCCACACTTTTCCTTCAGCTTCATCCCCTTCCTCTATAACAAGTGAGTTCTCTGTACTTCTACGTTAATGCTCTCAATAGCTTTGATTATCACTACTTGAATTCTAATCAAATATGCTTTGTGATAGCTTGCAACCTTCAATCTAGGCTACCTGATGACGACCATGACCAGCAGATAAAATCTGATTGGCGGTCCTTTCGAGCAAGGCTAGTCGCCGGAGAGCAAGCTTCTTGCAACAGCGCCGGGGATCGATGGGTTCATCGTCTGCACGAGCCTGAGAAGGGATGCATTCTAATTGCCACAGAGAAGCTCGACGGCGTACACATATTCGAACGCGCCATAATTCTCCTCATATCAACTGGTCCTTTGTGTCCTACTGGTGTCATCTTGAATCGCCCATCACTCATGTCAATCAAGGAGACGAAGTCGACAGTCTTCGACGTCTACGGAACCTTCTCCGGCCGACCGCTTTTCTTTGGGGGGCCGCTTGAGGAAGGCCTCTTCTTGGTGAGATCAAGGGTGGGTGGAGAGGAGGAGGATGATGATGGAGTGGGGAAAAGTGGTGTGTTTGAAGAGGTTATGAAGGGATTGTACTATGGAACTAAGGAGAGTGTAGGCTGTGCTGCTGAGATGGTGAAGAGGAATGTTGTTGGAGTGGAGGGTTTCAGATTCTTTGATGGATATTGTGGATGGGAGAAGGATCAGCTGAAGGAGGAAATCAGGGCAGGCTACTGGAATGTGATGGCCTGTAGCTTGAGTGTGGTAGGAAGTTATGGGATTGGTTGGGGAGAGGAAAGTGTGGTGATATAGTTTATTAGGTGCGGAGTGCCGACGGGGAGAACTGTCCGCACAAGCATTGGGTACCTAACGGTACCCGCACTCGGTACCGTTGGGTACCGCTTGGTACCCAGTGCTTGTGCGGACGGTGCGCACTCCGCACCTAATAATTTTTCCTAATTTACATATGGATATGAAGGAATAATGTTTTGCCTGGTAAAGGTTCCTCTAGTGTTCTCAAACTAGTTTAATCTATTAGATATAAAGTGAATGTTAAAATTGGGCTTAGTTTAAGATAACTTAGACTTCATTTGGGATGGCTTACTTATTGCTTTTTGAAGCAGCTTTCTAGTATAAAAGTTAATTTTTTTTACTAGAAAGCTGCTTCAAGAAATAGTAAGAAAGCCCTGATTTTTAAAGTAAAATTTTGTACTAGAAAGCTGTTTTAAGAATCAATAAAAAAGTCATTCCAAACGAAGATTTAGGCTTTCATTTGGAACGGCTTCCTTACTATTTTTTGAAGTTGCTTTTTAATACAAATTTTTTTAGTTTAAAATTTTTGTACTAATTTTTTTTTAGAAAACAATAAAGAAGTCTCACATTGAAGCCTTATTATTTTGCCTTTAACATCATAATTATATTTTTTATTTGGCTATCATTTTTTTGCTGTTTCTAAACAAATGTACTATAAAATTATTTTTTACAATAGTTAAAAAAATATTTTTCTCATAATAATTTTATAATCATCTTTATAAAAAATTGTATTAGTCCAAAATGGGCCCTCAGAGAGTGGAATTTCTCAAATCCATTCATATTTGAGCTTGCTTCTATTCAAAGATGATTTCCCACAATTAATTTCATTGAAATAATTTTTTATTTTTTCTTAAATTATAAAAGAACACATTTTATTTATTCACGGTTTAAGAAACAGTAAGAAAGCTGTCCCAAACAAAGTCTTAGTTTTTATACAATTTTTTAATTACTTTTTAAGACAAATTTTTATTACAAAAAAAATTATGATCTAAATTGTTTGTTTTAAAACAATATTTTAAAAAGTAATAAATATTTTGTCCAAAAAAAAAAAAACTTTAATCTCTAATTTCAGTTCCTGCTGAGTAAGTTTTAAATTTGCATAATTAGAGATCACTATAACCAGAGCGATAATTTGTTGATTATAACAATTAAGCAAATATTAAATGGAGGTCACACATGAAATCCTCTTCTCAACTTGATTGAAATTCACAAATTCAATATCATCATACTTCTCATTAATTCAGGCTATTATTTGTTTATACAATCTAAATTATTTTATTTATCAAGCATTTAATAACTTAGCTAATGATTTTTTTAGATGAGTTAGACCAAATAGTCCTCATTCACATGATGTTGTGACCCTATATTCAATATTGCTTACTGATATATCATAAAAAAATTATATTGATCGAGCATGAATCTTGAGGCAAAATTAAATTGGAAACTTCCAAAATTAAGATTGGGACCATCTGAACTCCAATTTCAGCAAACTTATAGTCGAACTGAACGTCTCGAAAATATGAAACCAACAACACCAAATTCGACTCAATACGTGCCCAAATGGGTCCAAATCAAGGACCCAAAATGCCATTGGAAGGTTCAAACCACAATTTTGTTTACCAAACGGTTTACAAATGTGACATTCTTATAGTCAAATCGAGCAGCTCGACGAGACTAATCCAACGAGCTTAAGATTGCTAAATTTTGATATCATTAAGATATTTAAATGCCAATAAATGGTTCATGATCAAGGAATTCAACATCAGCCGTCCATCCAAAGTACTCATAATTTATCCTTGATCTTCCTCCTACTTACGAGTCATGACACTTTCAAAAATCTATAAATAGACCCCTCTGCCGGGTCACCTCCTGACGCACGGATCTCTACTGGACCACCACCTAACGCCTAGACCTTTGCCAAACCACCGCTTGACGCCAAAGTTCTGCCAAACCACCACCGGACCACTGACTAGGACTCAGAGTTTTGCCAGACCACCGATTAATACCCGGACTTCCGGCAGACCACCACCTTCCGATACGGTCTTTCTGATCCTTGTCTCTTGCCCACTTTGGTCCTTCCGACCTCCGTCGACTACTACAATCCTTTCAACCTCCATCGTCATATAACATTCTTTCTGACCTCTATCTCATGTTGACTATGATCGTTTCGACCTTCGTCGCCTACTACAGTCCTTCCTCACCAAATAACGATCCTTTTAACCACCATCACCAGACTACGATCTTTCCAACCTCCGTCACCCACCGTCTATGATTCTACCGATCAAACATTTCAATACTAATTCTTCAAATTCCCACAATGTAATATGATGTACATTTGCTACATCAACCCAAGACCTTCCCCCCAAGGAAGGGTCTCATTTGTAATAGACTGCAAATAATAGTGGATTCAGTCAAACTGGGTCAGGCCTCATGATTTTTCCCATTTTCACTGATTTTCATGTAAAAACTTCGTTGTCTCTTATAAACACTACACCCTCTCTTTTATCTGCTTGAGTGTTGAATTTTTGTACAAAATTAAGACATTAAATTTTATATTTCTCTAACGCCACGAATATTCCAAGATGCAACACTTACAACTAATTTTGCTCAAGTAAATGCTTCCACTCGCCATTAGCATATTCCACTCGTAGAGAGCCCACTCAAAATTATAGAATTAATTTAATTGTTAAAGTTAGAAGCACCTTCATGCGGTGCAACTAAATGAAGCTTTAGGAATATAATACATTTTGTACATGTCTTCTAGAAAGTTGTAGAGTGTTCTATGACTATGTTATATAGAAAACTACTGTAAGTATGATATATGATGTATTTTTGAGAAATTACAATATTTACTATTCATGCTCTTTCCGAGTTGTTTGCGTAAGAGGTGTCAAAATCAATTTGCGGGTCGCGTTCGGGTCGAACCCGACATTGACCAAACACTATTTGACAAGACTCGACATGGGTTATGGCTGAAGAAGCACGTGAATGGGAGGAATGTCATCGGCATTTAAGCCAGTGAGGGACGACAGAGTTGAAGCCGCAGGACTGGAAGGCAATGTGAGGGACGGTGGAGCCGCGGGATGACGAGAGAGGTGACGGCGGGCACGAGAGAGGCGGACGGTGGGATTTCCAGGTCATTGTAATTGGAACAGGTCGATCCAGGTCATTAACGGGTTTCCAAGTTAACTCAAACCCGACTCGAATTTTGAAACGGGTCAGTTTATTGAATCCAAACCCATCTCATTTCATGAAAATTTACGAGTCGGATTCGAATCGAATTGTTTGGGTTGTGTTAAATATTGACACACCTAATTTGCATCATTTCTTCCATGATTTCCAGTACTCACACCTATGCCTACGCATGATAATGATAAATATGATGTTAAGATGCATTGGGCTGAAAATATTGATAATCTTATTGTCTTCCATCAACATTTGATTAACTATATTATATTTTAGAAATATATTATTATCTATGAACTACTAAGATATTTTAACTCGGATATAACTCATCTCCTTCAATGACAAAATCTTTACCAACATTATTTGAATGCAAGTAACCATTGTAAGTCAACAAACATATTACTTAGAAATATTTGGGGCTTAAAAAACTAGAAATTTCTGATCATCCAGCAATACTAAAGATTTCAAAAATCTGCCCTTGAATGGAACATTTCTATATGTTTAGCTTCGACTAATAAATTTGACCTCTTTCTAAGAAGAAATTATTTTGTGCAGATATCAGACCGTTCGGAAGCAAATCAGAATACGCCACATCACCCAATATACAACAAAAGAGTGATGTGACGTGTCCAGATTCATCTCCAAACGACGTCCGATGTCCGCACAAATAATTTTTCCTTTCTAAGACTTTCATTAAAAATATGCTGAGTAGCTAAGGAAGTAGGTAGAGGGCAACTTCTTATTCTTAAGTCTCAAATTTGAATGCATTTATTAACCCCTAATCATTAATATTTATGATTAACATAAATTGTTTTTTTTTTCCTTCTTCTTTATATGACAAATCAAACACAATGAATTTCTTGCAAATAAAGTATTTATTCAGTCAGTCAGTCTTTAGGTCCGGTGACCGAACGTAAAGCTACGTTCGGTCACCACTGAGTTACCCGGTATTTACTCGGTATTGCTAGGTATTACTAGGCAATAACGAGAAATACCGCCATGTGAAGACCAATACCGAGTAATACCGAGCAATACCGAGTAATACCGAGTTTTTCTAGAAAAAAACTCGGCATTGCTCGGTATTACTCGGTATTGCTCGGTATTTGCCTTCACATAATAGTATTTCTCGTTATTGCCGAGTAAAATCGACAAATACGTGGTTTTGTGCCTGCTACGAGGCACAATCTAGTGCCGGCCGAACGTAGCTCTACCCGGACGAAATAAAAGTTTCTCCTAAAGAGAGGGCAGTCAACAAAAGATTCAAAGTGTTCTCACCAAGTTATCAAATTGTCCAAACAAGAATTTTAAAAAAACAAAGCAGCCAGAAATAGGAATGCGAAATCTAACCAATCATGCATTAAAACTTATGGAGTAAGAGAGAAAATGGTTAAAATTGATTAGAAAATTGTATAAAAATCATTTTAGTCAAGAACCGAGGTTGAATTAATGAAGATTTAGGCTTCGTTTGGGACGGTTTTCTTACTGCTTCATAAAGCAGCTTTCTTGTATAAAAATTAAAAAAATTATACTAAAAAGCTGCTTTAAGAAGCAGAAAGAAAGTCGTCCCAAACGAAGCCTAAAACAAAGCCTTAGGTTTCCTTTGAAATAGCTTTTCATTACTTTCTAAAAGAACTTTTTTTTTTTAAAGTTCTAATTCAAAAAAAAATTTAACCAAAACACGCTTTTAAAAAATATTTAAAAAGTTGTCCCAAACAAACCCTTAAGTCAGAATATTTTTTTTAACAGTTTTTTGCAATAATTTTTTAGTTAAAAATTCTGGAACTAACAAAAAAAAAAGTAACAAAAATTATCTATTAGATCTATCATCATTGAAGAAAATTATACGGTAAGAATATATAGTATTCAAAACAACATAATAAACGCAAGAGAGTCTGTCAACATAATGAAACCCCAAAATCAAAATCAGAGCAATTTCTTTTATTTTATTAATTTTTGTTCTAAAAAAATTGACAATATTAGCTTGAGATTAAATAAAAAAAAAAGTCCAAAATTGTGAAATAAGCTCAAATGGTGCCAAAATACAACAACAACCACACTCAAATTTCTTCTCTCTAACATCAAGAATGTCATCAACGTCTAACTCATTTCGGACAACTACCCAACTTGGCATTTGGCTATTAAAAAACTGCTCGCTGCCAACAGTTTTTCCGGCTATATCAATGGTACACAACCTTGTCCACCCAAACATTTGCTAACTGCCACTGGACAACACACTTTAAATCCCCAATTTTCTTCCTTAACTTTGGTAGACCAAAACCTGTCCGTCGCCCTCTTATCTACTATCTCGGCGTCCATCCTCCCCTATGTCTTGAACTTAGAAACCACCGCATCTATTTGGAAGACACTCAAACAACGATTCTACTCCACAAATCGATCTTGAGTGATTCAACTGAAAATGAGTTACACTCGCTATCTATGCAAAACAAGTCTATGACTAAATATCTTGCATCCGTTAAGGTTCTAGTGGACAACATCAACGTTGTTGGTGGCTCTGTTGACAATGAAAACATTATGCATTACATATTAAATGGTCTACCCCCTACTTATCAGTCTTTTAAGACCTTTATTAGATCCTCTCTTCAACCGATTAGCTTGGATAACTTGTATTCCTTGCTTCGAAGCGAAGAAGTTCATCAAACAATTGATGTCATCAAAGAGTTGTCATTCTCTTCGCCATCATCTCCCTCAAATCCCACACTTTCTTTGTTTTCTAACCGAGAGAGAAGTCAAGGCCGATTCAAAAACTACAGAGGCCGTGGCTGCAATTTCAATTCAAATGGCATGTCAAAGCAACCCCTGCTTCGACAGACAATGTCATATTTGTGGTAAAAATGGCCACTCGGCTGTTATATGTTGGCATAGAGAAAACTTTCAATACAATTCTTCTACCTCAACTACTGACACGTTGTTATCTTAGAAACAATCTCAACACAGATCCCGCCCCCTTGTACCTCAACAACGGCGCTACAGCTCACCTTTCTCTAGAAACAATACCACTTCAGCAACCTTATACTGACAAAGATCATGTGTTGGTTGGCAACGACACCCCCCTACCAATACAACATCTCAGTAACGGATTTCTTCCCACTCCCACCTGTAAGCTCATTCTTAATCCCTTACTTCACGTTCCTAACTTAACTCATCGCCTGCTCTCAATTTCCAAGCTTATAGATGACAATCATTGCTCCATTGTCTTTGACAAATATGGCTTTCATGTTAAGGATTGGGCGACCAATCAAATGCTTCTTAGTGGTCCTTGCCATAATGGCCTCTACCCTCTTTCGATCGCCCCAGCTCCTACCACCATAGTCGCCAACACTGCTACGGTCTGTTCCTCATCCTCTGCTACTACCTGCCATCGTCATTTGGGTCATCCTCACTCCAAAGTTCTTCAAACTTTGTCAAAACAACTATCTAATTTATGTATTTTATTTTCTAGTTCTCTTTGTAATTCCTTTGAACTAGCAAAAATTCACAGGCTCCCATTCTCTCCCTCAAATTATGTATATGCTTCTCCCTTAGAAGTACTTCATATGGATGTTTGGGGACATTTATCGATCCTCTCTTATGATGGCTATCGGTACTATTTATTAATAGTTAATGATTTCACAAGGTTTTCTTAGATGTTTCCCTTAAAATTCAAATCTAACATTCCACAACTTTTAATTCAATTTATATGTCTCATTGAAAAACAACTCAATACCTCTATTCATAAAATTCGATCAGATGGCGGCAGTGAATTCGTTAACACTATATTAAAAACTTTCTTTTCCAATTTAGGTATTACACACCAACTCACATGTTCCCATACTCCTCAACAAATGGCATCGCCGAACGCAAACAACACCACCTTCTTGAAACAGCTTGAACTCTACTAATCGATGCTCAAATTCCTTCCTCCTTCTGGACAGAATCCTTGCATACCTCTCTTTACCTTATAAACCGACTCCCTTCCTCTCACAGTTTTCTTCAATCTCCATATGAACTTCTCTATAAATTAAAACCAACATATCATCATATGTGAATATTTGGTTGTCACTGTTATCTTTGGTTACGCCCATATACTCCAAATATACTTACAACACGCTCTATACCTTGCCTCTTCCTCGGTTATGCTACTCAACAAAAGGTCTATAAATGTTACAATCCCATTACATGAAATATACATGTCTCTTGCCATATTACATTTGACGAAAATACCTTTCCCTCTCTACCGCCAATTCAACCTGAAGCAAGCCAGTCACCAAGCATTACTTCACCTCCACCATTCCCACCCGTCCCCACTACTCCCTTGCCCTCCACAGAATCACCAACATCCCACCACCCTACCACCGCTTTGCCTCTATTACAATCTCCTAATGCTTCACATCTTTCCTCCACACCAAATACCTCCCCTGCCACTTCACCCATGACTTCCTCCAATTCCACCACTAGCTCCTCTACCTCCTCCAAACTACCACATCACCTAATGATTACAAAACTTCCGATCGGCTCGCTGAAGCCTCGCCAAAACCTAAACTGTACACATACTAGCGAAATAACTCCCACATGTTACACTATAGCCAGCAAATCACCACATTGGCGAAATGCCATGTCTGCTGAGTTCAATGCTCTTCAAGCTCAAGGGACTTGGTCCCTCGTCCCACCACCATCTAATCACCAAATCATAGGCTGCAAATGGATCTATAAAATCAAATGACTTGTCGACAGTTACATAGCCCGCCACAAAGCTCGCTTAGTTGCTCAGGGATATAAACAAGAATATGTCATAGACTATCACAAGACTTTCAGCCTTGTTGTCAAATTTCCCACCATCCGTATATTCCTCACTATCGCTTTACATCACAATTGGCAAGTATTTCAACTTGATGTCATTAATGCATTTCTACATGGCAAAATCGACGAAACAATATACACGGCTCAACCACAAGAATTCCATGACCATCAATTCCCAAATCACGTCGGCCTCCTTCACAAGGTAATCTTCGACCTAAAACAATCTCCTTGCCTTTGGTTTGCTACCTTAACAAACTACTTAATCACTCAAAATTTTTAAGTCAGCAGCGCCGACCCATTCTTTCTTCTTATATATAAACAAAATCTCAAAGTCTACATCTTAATATCTGTCGACGATATACTTATCACCGGAAACAACTCCTCATTCATTTCCTCACTCATTACCAACCTCCACAACAAATTTCAATTCAGAAATCTAGGCCATCTCTCTCATTTCCCTCTCTTCCGCCAGCTTCTTGATTCTCTACCGTACTTATTCTCCACTAGGCCGTACATCACCTTTGCCGTCAAAAAACTTTGTCAACAAATGCATCACATCTACTCCTACATTTTTAGCTCCTTAAATGTGTACTTTGCTACCTACAAGGTACACTAGATTACAGTTTATTTCTCCCAAAAACAGATTTTGAACTTACCGCCTTCTCCGATTTGAATTGGGCTGGTGATACGGTCGATCACAAATCCACCACTGGCTACTGTATCTTCCTCGACAAAGCTCTAATAGCATGGTCAGTGAAGAAACAAACCACCGTTGCTAGATCTTCTACAGAGGCGGAATACCGCTCTCTTTTTGCAGGTGCCGCCGATCTCATATGGATTCGTCAACTTTGCAATGACTTCAACACATCTTTGGAGCAAAAACCCATTTACTGTGCCAATATCTCTGCATTGTCTATAGCCAACAATCCGATTTTTCATGCTCGGACTAATCACATTGAGATCAACCACCACTTTGTTCTCGAAAGCATTCAAACTAAGTACATCATTGTTCACCACATCACAATTGATGATCAAATCGCCGATATGTTCACAAAGTCTCTACATTTCAACAAGTTCCAAATACTTTGCACCAAGTTAATGGTTGTACCGCCCATTAACTTAAGGGATGGTGAAAAGCAGCCAACATTCTCCACTCACTCTGAGCACCAACTAACCGCACCTACTCCAGCCATGCCTCACCTCTAATACAACAGCTCTCCTCTTTTTGCTTTATGTAACCATCAAGGATAGTTTAGACATTTTACTTATCTTACCAACATATGTGTATTTATTGTCTTGCATTGCTACAGTAAAATTTATGCGTGCCTTTAGCTAAAACGAGCAGTTCTTCTTCTCTATGTTTGCCCGGTTCTGAATGACAATCCGAAAGGATCATTATTTTTGGTTTCTCACCAAAAAAAAAAAAAAAGACTCAAGAGTTAGTTATATCTTTGTATAATTGTATGTGTAATCCAATTACAACATATTGGCAATCCCTATATCTAAATGTACAACTGTATTTATATTTCACTTCCTATGAAATAATGAAAAAAAAAAAACTCAAAATATCTGATTAAATTTTATTTAAAATGAATTTTTAAATTTATTTTAAGATGATGAATGCAATATAAATGTTTTATATTGTATCTATCTCAAAATAAAATTAAAAATTTCGAAATTCATTTGAGATTAAATTTTACTATCGTGCTAATTGAGGAGGATCCAAATTCCCGTCCCAGTCAGAGTCAGAACCTTTGATGATCCTTATCAACATCGCCACCACCTCTCTCATGTCCGGTCGGCCATTCGGCGCCTCCTCCATGCACCTCATCGCCACCCTCATCAACCCTTTCATTGCCTCGCCTCCTTCTTCGTCGTCCCACCCCTCCTCCACCTCATGTACTGCCTCTTCCATCCCCACCCTCCTCAACCAATCCACCAAACATTCCTCTCCTCCTTCCTCCACCGCCCTCCTCCCCGTCGCCAGCTCCATCACCAGCACTCCAAAGCTATAAGCATCCCCCTTAGTCGTTGCCCGCCATGTCTGCCCATACTCAGGCGCCACATAACCCACCGTCCCCGCCACCATCGTGCTCACATGCGTTTCTCCATTCAGCATCATCCTCGACAACCCGAAATCTGTCACCTTTGCCATTCCGCTTCCATCCATCATCACATTGCTCGCCTTCACATCACGGTGAACCACTGCGGGTACGCACTCATGGTGTAGATACTGCAAGGCGCGCGCCACCCCCACCGCGGCCTCCACCCGTTGAGCCCACCCGAATCTCCGCCAGTCTTTGATAACATCCTCCAAGCTCCCTCCTTCCATGTACTCGTAAACTAGGAGCTTCTCTGCTCCGGCCAGGCACCACCCGAAGATGGAGACTAGATTGGGGTGGCCGCCGGCAAGGACCTCCATCTCAGCACGGAATGCTCGTTCGCTTTCTACGCCTTCTCTTCTCAGTTTCTTCACAGCCACGTGCCGGCCATCCGGAAGCTTTCCGCGGTAGACCACGCCGGAACCGCCGCAGCCGATTATCATGTCGGTCGAGAAGTTTCTGGTTGCTGAAACGATGTCGGCGTAGGTGAAAGCCGTTTTATCGAGACGAAATACCTTAACGCCGCTGCCAGGAGAGCTGGTGGAGAGCTCTGAAGGAGAATCTGATGTGGAAGGAAGCCGCTGTTTGATTCCTTCAAACAAAAAGCTGTCTGGTTCTGAAAGAAATGGATCTGGTTCTAGTACTGAAAGAGAGTCGACAGGGGACCGGGAGATGAGGCAGAGGATTAAGGAGGCGAGGCCGAAGATTAATATGACAGCAATTAAGGAGAGGACGATCCAGATGAAGAGGAATCTAGCTGTCGATCGCCGACCGACGTTGGCGGGCGGCGCGGTGTTGTGAAAGGAGTTGGAGGCCGAAAATGAAATGAGAGGGTCGCCGATGAAGGAGCTGTTGTCGAAGGTTGCGATCTGGCCGCTCATGGGAATGGCACCGTAGAGGAGAGGGTTGAAGGAAACGTTGAATTTGTTGAGGTCAGAGATGTTGTTGAGGCTCGCCGGGATCTCGCCGGAGAAATTGTTGAAGGAGAGATCAAGGATCTGAAGGCACTGGATATCGCTTAGCTCTGCTGGAATTGAACCAGAGAACTGGTTGTTTGAGACGTTAAGCAGGATCAGAGGCAAATTTCCTATCGAGGGCGGGAGCCCGCCGGAGAGCTTGTTGTTTTCGATGTTCAGAATGCTGAGTCGATCCATTTGGCTGATTGATGATGGGATCTCGCCGGAGAGGAGGTTTCCAGAGAGCTGGAGGTAACCAGTGCTATCCAGCGTTCGAATCGGCTTTGAGGCATTAAGACAAACAGGGAACACGCCATAACCCTTGAGTAGCTGATCCCATTTCGCTCTGCAAGTCCGGCGAGTCATTACGGTGTAGACAAAGCTGAAGGGCGGGTACGTCGCCGGCATCCACCGCTTCATCGCCAGGCATTCGCCGGAGCCGGGAGTGATGTTGTCGTTGAGCCGGTTCTTCTCAAAAGTAGGGAATGGGTTCCGTCCGATTGAGGAGATCTCCTGCGGGATTCGCCCGGAGAGCTGGTTATTGGCGAGATTCAGCCATAGCAGGCTGCTGCAATTGCCGATCTCCGGCGGAATTCTACCGGTGAGCTCGTTGCTCCCGAGCATAAGCCATAGCAGAGACGTCAAATTCCCAAGTTGGGGAGGAATTCCCCCACTTAGCCGGTTAAAGGAGAGATCGAGGCCTTGAAGAGTCGCGATTCTCCCGTATTCAGGAGGAATTTTACCATAGAAATTATTGCTGGCGAGGATCAAGAACTCTAGCTGAGGCATCTCGGCGGCGGCAATGGGCAGCTCCCGGGAAAAATTGTTGAAGCTGAGATCGAGACGAAGAAGATTTGGGAGCTTCAGGACTCCAGATTCCTCGATTCCTATACTATATGAATTTGAATGCAATAGAAGAAACTTAAGAGAGGTGAAATTCCCCAAAATTCTCTGAATTTCTCCGCGGAAACTGTTTCTGCTAAGATCGAGAAACACCAATTTCCGACAGCTGAGGAGCTCAATGGGCAATTCCTGGTCAAAACTATTATTCCCGATGAAGAGAGTATTGAGTTCGAAGAGCGATCCAATACCGGAGGGAATCCGTCCGGTGAAGAAATTCCCCCAAAGGTTCAATGTTTCCATCTTCGAACAGTTAGCGATCGATTCCGGGAAACTCCCATTAAGCCCGTTGCCGGAGAGGTCTAGTGTTTCCAAACTACAACCGGCCGGAAAAGTCTCCACCGCTATCGCTCCCATGAAACGGTTATCCGACGCCAAGAACTCTCTCAGCCACCAGAACCCCATCCATATCGTCCCTCCAAATCTATTCAAGCTCAGATCAAGGACCTCCAAATTCCGGCGACATCTGTCGAAGTAATCTCCAATCTCGCCGGTGAAATTATTAGACGAAATGTTGAGAGAAACCAAATTCCCGCAATTCACAGGGAAGCTGCCCATAACCCGGCCAACGAAACGGTTGACGGAGACATCGAGTGTGTCAAGTTGGTTTAGGGCAGTTAAATTGAGCTCGCCGTCGATGAGATTATTCGAGAGGTTCAAATACCGGAGTCCGTGGCATTGATTGAGCTCCGGCGGGACGGGACCGTCGAAACTATTGGATGAGAGGTCAAGTCGGGTGAGCACGGGGAGAAGTGAGAAGTTGGGGAAGATGCCGCCAGAGATGCTCGAACCCCTGAGATCAATTCCGGCGACGCGGCCGTCCGCGTCGCAGGCGATGCCGGCCCACCGGCATGGGGATGGCTCCGACTCGTTCCACCCGGCGTAAGAGCCGCGGTTGACGCGATTGTGTCCGAGGAGGAAGTGCTTGAGGTCGAGCAGCACCGCTTTCTCAGCCGCCTCCGGCGAAGAATCGCCGGCAGCGGAAAGTGGAGACGATGAAATTAGTAAGAAAGGGAGAAACAGTAGAAGGAAGAGGGGGTTAGAGAAGTTGGGAGAGGTTTTGTGATCAGACATATCTCGGCGGAGGAGAACATGAGAGAGCGGCGAATGAGTTATCTTCCTGAAAACCAATTTGTTCTTGCAAGTATTTGACTGCTCGTGTCTTCCCTCGTTATATTTTTATTCTAATCGTTCTTCGGAAAAATTCTCCTGAGGCCTTTTTTTTTTGTTTTTCTCTCTCTCAAAAAAGAATGGCAACAATGAAAAAAAGGAAGGGGAGGATTAGACCTTGAGCTAAAATTATGGAGGAAGCTTAGAGCCTATTTGGTGCTCGATCCCGACGATCATCGCTTCCAATCTTTGTTTTTTAACCATATCATCTAACCATTATGACATATGTCATCATATTTTTGTCATTGTCAATTATTGTGTTAGTCTGTGTTGAATATAATTGTGTCAATCAGTTGAATTGCACTGTTGGCTCAGATTTCAAGTCTATTTATCGTGCTCGTCCCCTTGTTTGGGTTTGGGTGATTTGTATCTGAATTTTTTTGTGCAACGTCCCGGACACTATGTACTCGAACGCCTTGGCGCTGTATACCCAAATGTCCCAGCTTTGTGAAGTTTGCTAGGAGAAAAGATAGTAGACCGCCGCAGCACTTCGTGGCGGACTAAACAGATTTTCTTTCTCGTTTTTCTCAAGGGTGGTGTCTCTTGGTGGTAATACAATATGTTATTTTTTGTTTAGTGCGAGAACGATATAAGATAGAAGAGAAGCAAGGAGATATCCAGAGAAGAGAAATATGTACAAATTTCCTCCATTTTTCATAGTGGATTTCTTGATGTGGTGTGGTTTTAAATATTGGTGTAATTTACTTTCCGTTGCATTTTATTTTTTCTGTATCGCTGTGTTGTTTATATATTCATGCCCAACATATCAACCCAACATATTGTTGATTGATTATTGTGGCTATTATGGCTCTGCTGTAGTTTCCTGATAACCACGATCTCCCCATAATATTTGTTTGACCGACTATGATCTCTTGAGAGTCATCACTCGACTATAATAGCCTAACTATGGCCTTTTGACAACTGTTGCCTAAGTATAGTCTCTAGATCATCTTTGCCCAATTATTGTAGTTTGACTACAGTTTCTTAACCATCATCATCCAACTATTATCTCTTCCCCTCGTCACCTATAAAGACTAATTTCATTGCCCATCATCACTTATAACATTGATGCACACTATCATCCCCTCTAATGCCAAAACATTTCGTTGGCATATGCTATTACTTATAAGGTTGATACACATAATCAATACTAAGGTTAAATGATCGCCTAAAGATAATTAAAATGCCTTGAGGATCTTTCAACTTTCACCATGAAATCCATCATTAATAGTTCATGTTTCATATATATTTTATCAATACCTTTACTCATGAGGAATACCATTATTTGTAATCAATTACATATACTAGTAGAAAATCTCTTTATTGTCTTTAATGTTCTAATATGTTAAGAATTCCTCACAATTGAAGAATATGAGAGTACACAGTTAAGAACAATTATTTGATTCTCATTATAAAGACAACAGAATAAGTGATGATGGGTGAAGACGATTATACATTGTTAGTCGAGCATCGATAACATAATACAGACTAGATGTCCATAGTCTAACAGTTGACGTCCAATGATTGGATCAGATGTTAATAGTCAAACAATCAAGGTGACAGATATTGATGGTGGTCTTCGATAACAATTAATTATCGAGAAATACCACATAGTTCTGCAAATTTCTTAACTTCTGAAACCTTGACCTCCGTGAATATTCTGCTATGCAACAAAAAAGATTGTAGTTCGCGGGAGAAGCGTAAGTTAATTTAGTTGATAAAAATTATTAAAAAATTAAAAAAAATCCAAAAAATTAAAATTTCATTTGCATTAATCATGTGGCTTACAAATCTAAGAAGGAAAGACATCGTACACTTTGCCGCCGTTGCTGACATTTGAAATATCTGAAGACTATCCTCATAGACTGATAGAAGACAATTATAACCAAGGGAGCGGTGCTCCTTATGCTCATGTTAGGTATTCAGATGTTTCTAATTATTCATTTAAATTATTTAATTTACTCACAAAGGTTTAAGGTAGTTGGTGAGCGAGTACGATCGGGAACCCTTCATCCCAGGTTCAAATCCTCTCTATTAAGGCCTCGCCTATTCAGTGGGGCAAAGCAAGTGTGGACCTAATGCCGGTGGGTTCGATGCTAGTGGGTTGCCTCGTTAGGTTCTGTCGAAGAATTAGTTACGTCGCCAAGCGCTCCTTTTATAGTGACAGTGGATAGATACCCCATTACAAAAATATATATATTTAATTTATCTTAGATAATCATATTATTATTTTTGTGAATTATATAATATTTTTTAATAAATTAAATAGTATTAATCCTAATTATCTAAGATGAATTGACTTGTTGAGATAAAATAACTACATACTTGAACATAAGAAAATAGAGGGATTTACGTACATACCACTATATACTACTTTATTTACATATCTAACACCTAAAATTTTAATATTACATACATACCACCAATAGTTCATTTTCATATCAAATATGGGCGGTAGGAGTGAAATATATGGATGATGAGAATGAATTATGGGTGGCATATTTGATATTAAAATTATATAAGGTGGTATATATATAATATTAAAGTTTTAGGTATTAGATATGTAAATTGAGTAATATATAGAGTGGAGTGTGAAAATATTATTAAGGTATATATTTTTTCATTTTAGGACATAAGAATTCATATTTTACATGTGAAGTGTGAAAATATTTTTTTAATAGAATAAATGGAAACGGTTGCGTAAAGGATTTTGGCATGTTTTGTGTTTTTGGTCCTAGTTCAGTTGTTTGAATTTGACCGTTATTCATAGCTACAAAATGAAACTTGAATTCTAATTCCGACGCCTATATGTTTGAATAATGACTATTTTCTAATTACTATGATAATTAGCGACAATTACTCTAATAAATGATAAATTAGTTAGATAAATCCTATTTTTGGGATAGTTAGGCCAATTAAGACAGACTCACACATGCATCGCATATACAAGACTCGAACCAAGACCTCATAGTTGATAACCTAAGCTCCCAACCAACAAACTAAGATGAGCTGCATCATTTTGAGTCCAAAGATCTCTTGTTTTTAATATATAATTTTTTTTGGTGAAAAAATCATTGATAAATAATCTTATATATATATAGTTCAAAGATATCAATTAAATTGTACTGATCACTGATGAATTGGGTCCAAATCGGGGGCTTGAAGTTTTTTTTGGAAGATTTAACGTCTAAATTGGATGAACAAATGATATCCAAATATAACATACTTAAAGTCGAATCGAGCGGCTCGACGATATTAATCCAATGAAACCAAGATCACGTAATGATGGCATCTTTTAGGTATATAAATGCTTGACAAACGCTCTATAATCGAGGGGGTCAATATGGGTCGTCCGATGGAGCACTCCAAATTTGCCATATATCTTATCCATATTTACAGGGCATGCTACTCTTAAAAAATTATAAATATACCCAAACTTCTCACATGAGAGGGGGACTTGGAGCTTTGACCTTTGGCTAGAGATTGGAGAGAGCTCTCAGGATTCAAGAGCTCCAGCACAATCGCCAGTGAACCTCTTTCAACCGTCCCCATACTTTCACCCGATCATCGACGAACCACTACTATGTCGCCGACCGTCGCCAGACTTACACCATAGCGTCAAACTTCCACTCAGCCACTAACCGCCGCAGAACTTTCGCCCAACCATCTTCAAACCACCGCCCAGTCATCGAATTCCACTGATCTTCCACCAGCCACCAATCGTCGTTGGACTTTTGCACGACCATCGTTGAACCATCATTCTGCTGCCGACTGCTGTAAGACTTCAATCTGATTGTCGAGCACCACCGAACTTCCACCTAATCTTCTTCGAACCACTGCTTGGTCTTCGACTGCCGGTGGACCACCGTTCAGCCGCCCACCGCTGGCTATGGTCTCTTCGACCACAAACGCCTACCGACTATGGTCCCTTAGACCATCATCACCTGTCGACTAAGGTCCCTGTAAACTCCGTCGCCAGCCGATTACCGTCCCTTCAACCACCGTCACCCATAAACTATGGTCCTTTTGACCTCCCGTCAACCAGCGACTAGGGTCCCTCTTACCACTGTCGCCCACCGACTACAATCCCTACGGCCTCCACCACCCGCCGACTACGGTCCCTCCGGCCTCTCATCGCCCGCCAACTACGATCCCTTAGACCTCCATCGCCCATCGACTACGATCCCTTCGACCTTCTATGCCCACTGATTACGGTCCCTCTGACCTCCAATAACCCGCCGACTACGATCCTCTTGACCTCCATAGCCTGCCAACTATGATCCCTTCGATCACTATCACCCTCCGTCTGTCGACTAGGGTCCCTCTTACTACTGTCGCCCGCCTACTATGGTCCCAACGACTTCCGCCACCTATTGACTACGGTCCCTCGCACCACCGTCTCCCGCCAACTACTGTCCCTTCGACCATATTCGCCCCTCAGTTACAATCCCTCTGACCTTTCATCGCCCGCTAACTATAATCCCTTTAACCTCCGTAGCCTGCCGACTACAATCCCTTTGATTATTATCGCCCGCCGACTATAGTCTCTCTAACCACCTTCACTGCACTATGATCATGCTTGTCGAATTTACTCTCTTTAGAACAACTCTCACATCACTAGATTCTTCCAACTACCACCTTTTAATGTGCTTTATATATTCTATATTTACTACATCAAGTCAATGCCTTCCCCTCTAGAAGGTTCTCATTTGTAATCAATAATAAGCATTATTGAAACCATTTTGAACTAAGCCAGACCCAATGATTTTTCCCCTTTATAAGCTAGATTTTTCAAGTAAAAGTCTTGGTATTTTATGGCTCTCTCACTTTTCTCTCTTTATATGTATATATATTGGATCTTCATTAAAAAAAATAAAAAAATAATATTAGATCTTCGTTCAAAACTTAGAATTAAGTTTTTTCTTTCTATCGCTGTGAATGCTCCAATCCGCAACAAGGACCTAAATGATTTCATAAAAAGACCAATTTAATTCATATTTAAATAGTAAAAAAAGATCAAATTTATGTTTTTATATATTTGAAGATTATTTTAAC